CTACCTTTCTGCGGATCAAACACCTGCTGCGCATCAGTCCATCACGGACAATTTGCGGCCGACAGGACGCCGCTTCGATGCGCTCATGTACACGTTCATGGGCGGCGACGCGGAGTACAGCGTGAACACGCAGCGGTGTACGCCAGGAATGCTAACGGCGTCCTTGGGCTGCGTCTACCAGTGGAATCAGGGCGCCTTCGCTGACCCGCTGGTCAGGGGCCGCGGTGCCTCGTTTTACAGGGGCTCACGGTTTAACGTCCCGGGCAACGGCCCGATGAACGGGTACACGCCTCACTGGGCCGTTATTAACCCTTATTTCGGCCAGCCTTATGTGCTATCGCGTCTGCGTGTGAAGCATCCAGCGGAAACGATAACTTGGCACGACGCAGCAGATAATCCAAGGCTCACTCCTATAAGGGCCAAACAACTCTTTGGCGTTGTCTGTGAGGTGCAGGATGCGATCACCACCACCACCACCACCACCACGAGGCCGCCAACCACCACTACCACCACCACGAGGCCGCCAACCACCACTACCACCACGACGAGGCCGCCAACCACCACTACCACCACGACGAGGCCGCCAACCACCACCACCACCACGACGAGGCCGCCAACCACCACCACGAAGAGGCCGCCAACCACCACTACCACCACCACAAGGCCGCCAGCCAACACAACTAAGTTGGCGCCGGAGGAGGTGGTGGTCCCGTGGGCGAAGAAGCACTGGTATGTCCTTATTCTTGCAGTCGTGCTGCCGCTTATTGCGGCTCTTGCACTGATAATTATCATTTGCTGCTGTTGCTGCCGCGGTGTCGATGAGTCCAAGTGGGTGACGCCCATGGTCTTGCGGGAGGTGAGCGGCGATGTGCGGTATGCAGCCAACCAGAGGTGGGGAAGCGGGCTGGATTCCTTTGAGGACCCAGTTTTCCCCATGTGTCCTCCCCGTGAGCAGGGAAATGGAGTCCTGCAGAATTCTTGGATGACACCCCCAGCACCCGCAGCGTACGCCTCACCGTCGTTCGGGCTGCCCAGTCGCTCCAGTCGCCGACGCACTTCATCAGGTATTTTTGCAGGTGTGGAGGTGCCAAGGGGCGACGAGATCGCGGAAGGCTGGGACGATGCCTCTCTTGGGAATACGAGGGAATTACGGCGCGATAGGCCCTCCGGGTCTGTGGTAACTTGGGAGGATACGGAGACAATAGGGCCGTAATGGACAAGTGTGTTGTGGGCTTCCTTTGAAGCAGGGACGTACGTGGCCCTGGACGTGTGTGGCAGTGTTGCTGTGCCCAGTGATAGCTGTGGGCTTGCGCGGGGTGGGCTAGAACGTGAGTCCAGTTCTGCTTGTAAAGGGAGCGTGCGTTTGTGTGTGGCTATTAACCTTGACGCATCCAGACCGCGATAATGAATCGATGTGAATTTTGTGCGAGCTGC